GCCCTTCTCCTCACTCTCTCATCTTCTCCTCTCTCCTCCATATCCTTGGGAACAAGGTGAGTCTGAAGCCCTATCTCCTCTCCCACCTCCTCCTCTTCCTCATCAAGTTTTCTCAGCGCATACCTGCTCCTCTGTCCTATGCTGGGTCATGGGGCTGCTTGTAATGAGAGAGGGAAGAGGAGAGAAAGTGTTGCATGGAGGGAGGCTGGGGCTTGGCTGAAGGGAGCGATGGGCTAGGCAGTGATCTCCGTGGGCTTGGTTGCGCTTGGTGGGGAACTTCTGAGCTGAAGGGAGGGAGAAGCCCATGGGCATTTCTACAACACATTCAGTTCTTGTCTCCGGCATAGCTTGGTTTGGTTCCCTTTGTGGGAGAGTGACTGGCATCTCCTTGCGCCCTTCCCCTTCCCTCTCTCCAGGTGCACCTCCGTCCCTGAGACATGTCCTGCTACAACCAGTGCCTGCCAGCCCAGCCCTGTGGCCCGACCCCACTGGCCAACAGCTGCAATGAGCCCTGCTTCAGGCAGTGCCAGGACTCCACCGTTGTCATCCAGCCCTCCCCTGTGGTGGTGACCCTGCCCGGCCCCATCCTCAGCTCCTTCCCGCAGAGCACCGCCGTGGGATCCTCCACCTCTGCTGCTGTTGGCAGCATCCTCAGCTCTCAGGGAGTGCCCATCTCCTCCGGGGGCTTTGGCCTCTCTGGCTTCGGCAGTAGCTACTGTGGCAGGAGGTTCTTCCCCTGCTAAAGGCCCCCAGGGACACACGGGATGGTACCAGACTGGGGACGCAGCATCGAGTTTTTGCTTTCTGAGGGGCTGAGGAACCCCAGCCCCCCTCAGAAAAGGACAGGGCCAGCCTGTGCTCTGGGAAAGCACAGCCCATGCCTGCCTTTCCCATCTTCCACTCTCTCCTTCCCCACTATATCCTTTTTCTCTTGTGCTCCCCTGGGCTGTGAGCAGCACAAAGCCAGCCCAGATAGGAACTACTTGCCCTTCTACCTCTGTGGAGAAGACAGACACCTGGTGGGATTTCTGTCACAGCCGTGAGCTCAGACTCATCTCTGCCCCTAGTGCTTCCTGCACTGGGACTTCCACTCGACCCAGCCTTATTTCACTGTTTTCACTCATTAAAGTTCTACTGCATCTCAGCCCACGCCCCTGTGTCATCCTTTCCCCTGCAGTTCTTCCCACACCATGCCCAGGGAGAGAGGTGCTGCTCTGCAGTGGTTTTGTGAGGAGTGTTGTGGTTTAGCCCAGAGGCTGCGCACTCACCCCGTGGAGGTGAGAAAAATTTAATGAAAGGCCTGAGGGAGGAGATAAGAACAGGGAGGGACCACCCACCAACCATGGCCCTGGAAAAAACAGATTCAATTTGGGGACAAATCAATCTAATTTGTTAACCGTTTGTTCAGAGAGGATAACAAGAAACAAAGCCAGATCTCAAAAACATCTTCCCCCCAACCCTCCCTTCTTCCAGACCCTACCTCCTCCCCCAGTGGCACAGGGGGACAGTGAATGGGGGGCTGCAGGTCAGTTCGTCACTCATTATTTCTGCTACTCCTTTCCTAAAGGAGAAGGACTCCTTACACTCTTTTCCCCTTGCTCCAGTGGATCCTCTCCTCACAGAACAGTCCACAGGTTTCTCCAATGTGAGTCCTTCCCACAGGATGCAATCCTTACCCATCAGATTGCTCCAGCGTGGGCTTCTTCCCTGAAGAGTCACTGCTTCTTAGGGAGCTGCCACCCACTCTGCAATCATGCATGTTCATACAACACATTCACATACTCATTGTTATTCTCTTAAACGATTGGTTAATTTTCTTTTGCATTACATGTAAATTACTTCACATGCTCAGTTCTCTTCCTCCACCCCTTTCTTTTGGGACTGGGGTATGTTTAGGGCAGGTGGTCGATGAGTCAGTGGTCGCAATCTCTCCCGGACAGAATTACCTTTTCCCCAAGTCACTGCTGC